CTCCTCGCCGTCGCGCTCGCACCCGCCCCGGCCGCGTCCCAGCAGCAGCAGCAGCCCCCGCTCGACCCGCCGCCGTCCTGGGCGTTCCCCAACCCGCGCCTCCGCGCGGCCTACGTCGCGCTGCAGACCTGGCGCCGCACCGCCATCTTCTCCGACCCGGCCAACTTCACCGCCAACTGGTCGGGCCCCAACGTCTGCGCCTACAACGGCGTCTTCTGCGCGCCGCACCCGGCCGACGGCGGCGTGGTCGTGGTCGCCGGGATCGACCTCAACCACGCCGACCTCGCCGGGTACATCCCCGACTCGCTCCCCGCGGGGCTCCCCGACCTGGCCCTGCTCCACCTCAACTCCAACCGCTTCTGCGGCGTGCTCCCGGACACCTTCCTCCACCTCCGCCTCCTCCACGAGCTCGACATCAGCAACAACCGCTTCGTCGGCGGCTTCCCGGAGGTCGTGCTCCAGCTGCCCTCGCTCCGCTACCTGGACCTCAGGTTCAACGAGTTCGAGGGCGGCATCCCGCCCGCGCTCTTCGACCGCCCGCTCGACGCCATCTTCCTCAACTCGAATCGCCTCACGCGCCCCATCCCGCCCAACCTAGGCAACTCGCCGGCCTCTGTGCTCGTGCTCGCGCACAACAGGCTCGGGGGGTGCATCCCGCCGTCGATTGGGAGGATGGCCGAGACGCTCAACGAGATCGTGCTCATCGACGACGACCTCACCGGCTGCATCCCGCCGCAGGTCGGGATGCTCAGGAAGGTGACCGTGTTCGATGTCAGCGGCAACGGCCTGCAGGGCCCGCTCCCGGCCACCGTCGCTGGGTTGGTGGCCGTCCAGGAGCTCAACGTCGCCGGGAATCTCTTGGAGGGCGCGGTGCCGGCGAGCGTCTGCGGGCTGTCGAGTCTGAGGAACTTCACCTACGAGGACAACTTCTTCACCGGCCGGCCGGGGTGCGCCGTGGCGACGGCGGACGGCAGGTGGAACTGCATCCCCGGCGCTCCCGCGCAGCGCCCGCCGGCACAGTGCGCCGCGGCGGCTGCCCGCCCGTTCGACTGCAGCAGGGCACAATGTCAGGCAGCACCACCGCCAGGCAGGCGCGGAGGCGGCCGCCAGCCGCCCTCTCCCAGAGCTGGGCCGTCGAGGAGCCCGCGTGCGCCGGGCTCGTCTACGCCGTCGAGCCCATTGACCCCGCCGGGCTGGTTTACGCCGCCGGGCCCATTGTTCCCGCCGGGCTCGTCCACTCCATCGTCTCCGTCCCCGCCCGGGGGTTCCACAACGCCAGGAACGGCGGCGCCGCCGCCGCCGACCCACAGCGAGAGCCCCGGGCACGCAATGCCGCCCTCAACCACACCACCATCCCAGGGCACCCCGCCTCCGTCCTCCGGCAACCAGCCGCCGTCCGCGTCCTCACCGTCCAGCCACCAACCCACAACACCTCCCCCCGGGTACGCCCCTCCGGCCCTCACGCCGCCGACCGCGCCCACGCCATCCTCGCCACTGCCGCTGCCGGCCCCTGGTCCCTGGACACCACCCCCTCCACCAAGCGGCGAGGGCGGAACGCCATCCTCTCCACCAAGCGGCCAAGGCGGAGCGCCATCCTCTCCACCAAGCGGGGAAGGCGGGACGACGCCGGTTCACGGCATGCCATACTCGTCCCCGCCACCACCACCAACGACAGTGCCGTTGCCCCCGGTCCACGGCGTGTCCTACTCGTCGCCGCCGCCCCCGCTCCTCCCGCCGGTCTACGGGGTGTCCTACTCGTCGCCGCCGCCGCCAATGCCGCCGGTCCACGGCGTCTCCTACGGGTCGCCGCCGCCGCCCACGGGGCCGTAGAGCTAGCTGCTAGCTAGGTAGTAGCCGCAGGCTGATCGGTCGGCCCGTCCGGCCGCCACCTCCACGGCCGGAACGCTCGTCGTCAGCCAGCCAGTCCGTCTTGTCGTCACCAGTACATCTCTCTCCGTAGCTTCCTTCTTCTTGGACGTTCTTGTATTTTCTTCACATTTTCTCCCTGCCGTCTGTCCATTTGTTATGTCGTTATTTGATCCCGAATTAAATTCAAAGCAAGTCTCCGCGGTGGATTCTTTCACTTCTTTCGTTTGTTTGCTTGCTCGATCGATGTTCACCGCCGGTGTACCGGTTGCCATGCTCGATGGATGAACAGCGACGCAACGCAATGCGGCCTTGGACCGGTGGTTGTGGCACGCACGATCGAGGATCACATGCATGCATGCATGCGAGAACACGTTGCAGCGGCACACGAGTTATGCTGGCAGTAGTACGATGCTACTACGATACATAGTGTGATGATAAGCAGTGATGGGGCACTCACGCCATGCCTAATGAATGAATGGAACGGATGAATGTTGAATGACTAGTCAATTAGGGCCGGTGGTAGCTGTGGCGCCATTTATTTACTCCACGGAATGGACTTTGAGCCTCTCCACAGGTGCAGCGACGTGCAGTACAGTGAATCTTGCAGTGGATGGTACCAGAACGTTACGACTTGGACGAAGTTGATGTTGCTCCACTATACCAGTGCATTGAAATTATTATCTTTCGAGGCCCGTGATTTGTTTCACGTGGGAGCGGAGCGGATGAGGGGGGCTAGTAATTGCTGCCTGCCCGGCCGTCGCCTCTGCAGCCACAACTGCGACTGCAATTGCGTCGGCCTGAGCAAAACCTGCAAGCTACTGGAGGCTGGAGCCAGCCAGCTATGGCCGTTTGCCACCCATCACTTGATGATCGGAGTTAATTACGCCTCCCTACGCCCGAGATCCTATGAGCGTGCCTGCCTGCCTGCTGCGTGCTTACCAGAAGCACACGCATTACTGCCTGCGATCCACTGTTGGGTCCCGTGCTCTGCGTGCCTGCGATCTACTGTTGGGTCTCGTTCAAACTTTGTTAAACCACCTCCCCCCGATGAACCCAGCCGACGGGATCGTGCGGCTGCTTAACACGCACTCATCGTCGCTGCTGGGATCACACCATCGGATCTTCCACGTTCCATCCAACATATTTGTCAACCAAATCCCGAACAAATTCAAATGTACTCTGAAGAAAATCACGCCAATTGCACTCGGTACTCCGGTGAAAATGAATGATACAGAAAAATGTGCGCCAGTGAAAATTCAAATGTACTCGTAAAATCATCATATACCGGGGCACGGTAGTATCTCCCTAGCAATCGAAAGGGGAAAAAATCATGTATACTCGGTAAAAAGAAAGAATTAGTAACAAACTAACGATCATGTACTACGAGACTTGCAGATTATTCAAGTGCTTTAGGGTCAAACGTCAAGGCCAACTACTCAAGCACATTGGCTCCTCAGATTTACACATTAATCGATAATCACAGGGGGGTGACCAGTTGACCTGACCTAGTGCTCCTACTTGGCAGCGGATCCCATGCCGCAGAGGACGACGGCGGCCTGGCGGGCGAAGTAGGTGAGGATGACGTCGGCGCCGGCTCGCCGCAGGCACATGAGCGACTCCATCATCACCTTCTCCTCGTCGATCATGTTCAGCGCCCCGCCGGCCTTGATCATCGAGTACTCGCCAGACACCTGAAACGCACAAAAGGAAACAATGTAGGATAATTGCTTCAGAATTTCACTCTCCTTTTCACCAAAGCCGAGCCAAAATGGTAAGTGCATCATTTGATCCTCTCTTTCAGCTACTCCCTCCGTTCCTAAATACGTAGAAGTCTTTTTAGAGATTCCAATGCGGACTACATCCACGGCACTGCAAGGAGATCGCTGGATCCATGATCTGAGGCACTGCAATGTCAACAGCATTCTGCCGCAGTTCATTCGGTTGTTACGGATCATCAGCGACGCGCGGATCACGGCCGCCGCGGGTCTGCGTGATGACATCAGCTGGACTGCAGGCGGTGCTGAGTGCTCGGCCCGCGCGGCCTACGCCCTGCAGTTTTCGAACCCGCCGTGCACGGAATTCAAAACTCTCATATGGAAGACCTGGGCCACGCCGCCACGGGGCAAGTCAAGTTCTTCTGCTGGCTGCTGCACCACAATCGGCTCTGGTGCAATGACCGGCTTCAGAGGCGGGGCTGGGAAAACGCATATTTCTGCCAGCTATGCAACAGAAATCTCGAGACCTCGGTGCATCTGTTCTAGGAGTGCAGTGTGGCCAAGGAAGTTTGCCAAAGAGCAGCGGCGTGGACGGGGTGCGCCGCGCTGAACCCTGCTGGCTGGACACAGCTCGACGACGGGAGCGGTGTCCATGATCGCCACCAAGACGGAGCCGGGCAACAGGAAGGGGATACTGTCAGTGACAGCCCTGATCTTATGGCGCATCTGGCTGGAGCGAAACTGCTGCACTTTCAAGGGAAAGCAGCCGAGCGCCAGTGACATTATCGGTGCCACCAGAAGCGCCATGGAGCAGTGGCGACTCGCCAGAGCGAAGTGCATAGAGACCCCTTTCGGGGACCCGACGTGAGATATCACCTTTTTGCTGAAGTAGTGCTGGGGGCTTTCTTAGCCTAGCCCATTATTCCTCTTCAGCCTCGCTACTGATTGTTTTGAGCAGTTAGCGTTTTTGTACTCTCCAGGTAATCTGGATCTTTCAAAAGAAAAAAATAGAAAAAAAATGGACTACATACGGAGCAAAATGAATAAATCTACACTCTAAAACATGTCTTTATACATCCGTATGTAGTCCATATTGAAATCTCTAAAAAGAATTGTAGTACTATTTAGGAACGGAGGGAGTACAATCATAACCCAAAAAGAAAAGAAAAAACATAACACATACGAGATCATCTTCTGATTCAGGATTGTAACCTCAAGGATCAGTTACGTAAGTTTACTCATAACCATTCATAAGGATAGATCAAGGTTCAGGCTTTTGATTGGTTCAGAATTTCACTCGCTTTGACCTCAAAGTATAACAACAGAAACACCATGCAAACAACATCAACTTCTGATTCTAACTCGTAAACTCAAGGATTAATTAGTTCAGTTTAATTAATCATATCAAATTCATTCACAGGATGATATCGCCACCTCTACTTTTTTCTTTCCTAACACAATGACAGAATCAGCCTCCATTTTTAGCGTAAAAAATAAGCAGGAATACAAAAGCAAAAAATAAACACCTCAAAAATAAAATAAAATAAATCTGGTCAACTTCTTAAGATTAACTAATGTTGGTGCTGAAGTTTTTGAGAACTCTCAAGGAGAGAGCTTCGGATCAAGATAGATCAAGATTCAGACTTTACTGAAATCTTGGGTGCACGTGTGCTGCCCAAGAGAATTTCTACTCTACAGTTTAGAAATAGGCAGATGCAGTCAGAGTGCACAAATGCGTAGTGATCTAGTACTACTTTAGCGGCCTGCTGCTTGAAATGGCTACCAACTGATGGTGTTTGTGTAAAGAAGATAAGGACGATGAAATATATGACTCGGGTATTGATAAGACAAATGAGAAATGTTCTTGTGCGGCAAAACTATCGAGGCAAGTGGCAATTGGGTAGCTGAATTATGATATGCACTTACGTGCTGCTGCTAAAACGATTTCATTAACTGCATCGGAGGTATACAGTAAACAACGAGGTCCAGGTTTCTTGTGGAATTCCAGACAGAAATGGCAAAAACATCACATCAACAAGGATTATGGACCTGGTAATGAACTAACCTGGTATGCAGCAATTGGCAGTGCAGAATTATCCCGGAGAAGTCGGATGATATCCAAGTACGGCAATCCAGGTTTCACCTGTCACAAGGTAACCATGATTATGGAGCAACATACACAAGAGTTGCCTTTGGTAATACAGCACCGAATAATAAGCAAGAGAATTACTAGAAGGATATCAGCCCCTTCGGCCTCATCTGCTGCAGTTTCTAGAAGAGCTTCCCTGTAGTTAGCTGGGTTCATCTGATAGCTTCAGAACGAAAAGGGGCAAGACATTTAGATAACATTGAGCAATTAAACTGTACACAGGATGAAAATCAATAGAGTAGCGTTACTGTCAGCTCCGTACGTTTTCTTATCCCCAAATCGTGGATTTGAATCTAAAGCTTCTCGGAATGGCCCGTAAAATGAACTGGCGTACCTGCAAAAAACATATATTGCGGATGCATCAGTCACATAACAAAGACGTAATGTAAAAGAATAGGATAACAGAAATACTATGATGCCATGAATGGTATAGGTATGTACTTTGCAGTATAGGACATGATGGAGACATCATTGAAACCCTCAGCATCCAAAGCAGAACGGATTGCTCCAACACGACCATCCATCATGTCACTAGGACTAACTACATCGGCACCAGCACGTGCCTATTTAGTTCATGGAACAAGTTTATGTTAGTGAACAGTTGCATACTCATCAACCAAATCCAACACATAGTACCAAGAGAAGAGATGGACCTGTGAAACTGCCTGTTTGCACAACTGATATACTGTTTCATCGTTCAGAATTACTCCTGATGGGATTGAAACAAATCACAATTAGCTGGACAGAAGTTTGTACGTAACTTGTGCCTTCTGATAAACATCTAAGTCCATCAGTTGTTTGGACAAAAAAATAGTAATGAAAACTGCTTGTACTGTAATTCCAAATTCTAAACATGGGCATGACCACTGAACAGCTAAGCTTATAATTTAAGTACCTTTTTGCACTAGTAATCAGTTTATCGTCATTCAATAGGGATACAAAAAGCTACAGGAGCCAACCAATTCCTGCAGGTTTAAACACTACGGAATGCACATTTTCATTTTTTGCTAATTTCGATGATCTGGGAAGCACCCAACGAGATTCTTGTGACGAAATACATTTGTGCAGCATATTTTAAAATTATTTTTAGGAAATTATAGTTTCGGTGCCACGTGACAAAACTAACGACTTGATTAAGCTGTTGACTGTGCAGGCACACAGTATCTCAGGCTCCTAGCAGTAATCAAGTGGTCCAGTAATACTTTTAGAAAATCAAATCTGGACAATCAAAGTGATGTCATAAAAACCATAGCATCTCAGGCTCATACAAAACCAAACTGGCCAACAATACTTATCGGGAACTAGGATGATAGTTTCTTGGCCGTATGCCCACATCCAGTGTGGTGTGACCTTCATACCAGGAGACTGGCAACAATATTTTTGAACTAGCTAGCATATTTCTAATGCTATCAGCAACTCAGGATACAAGCAGATCAGCATATCATGCACATATGACCCTCTGGAAAGTGTAAGATAATAATGCCATCATTTTCATTACCATCTTCCCTCACGATGCCATCATGTCCATCAGATGAATACGGGTCCAAAGCAACATCCGTGTAAACAATCTAAATTCGTCATATGATTAGAAGCAAAGAAATTGGTAGCATTGATGCAAACGACAATACACAATGAATGAGGGAAACAAACTTACAATATCAGGGAACTTATCCTTGAGCAGGCGAATTGTTCGTGGAACCAAACCATTGTCATTGTATGCTTCAACTCCTGTTGGAGACTAAGGAATAAAGCATTCAAGTCATTCCAAGGAACAAATACAAGAGCGTGGCAAATGATCAGTCATATTTTTCAAATACCTTCAATGCATCCGGAACCTTTGGAAAGAGCACAAAGCTGTTAACACCAACATCGCGTGCCTTATACACCTGCATATAAGAGTGGTTGTATGGATGACATTACATCAGCTCTGAATACTGATTGCTACCTAAGACTATTGGTCCAAGTGCAACCCACTATCCAAGTGACAAGGAAATAAACACATATTTAGAGTTCCATCAAATTCATCAAACATAGATGACAAATCTGATCCAAATCTTAGAAAATAAAAGAGGTAAATTTGCAGTACTTGCAATACCTCATCAAGAAGCCCATGCTGCCATCCAAGCCTAAAGCACCCGGGCATGGCGCCAATTGGAGCATCCTCTTCCCCTGCAAATCATCACATAAAAATAACCTTGATATACCAAATCTCAAATGGTCCAGCATTCAAGCAAGTAGATTTCAAGGCAACCTTCGTGGATGAACAATGGGAGCACCAAATTAGCGGGCGAGATGGTTGTCTCCTGGAATGCAGCCCTAAGAGCTGGCGACCTGCGGTTGCGGCGAGGGCGCTTTGCCATGTCCTGAACACACATCAAACATGCCTCCGATTCAGTTTCCTGCAACTGCAATGTACACGAGCAACATTGCAAAAATCAGATTGGAGCTTACAAGAGGCCTGATCTCAGGCGTGCCATCGGGGGCCTTTGGTCTGACAAACGCCGCGGGGGCAGGGAATCTCCCGGCGACGGCGTCGGCCTCGCACTCCTCGATGCTCCTCCCCGACGGCGCCCTGACGGCGGCGGCCGCCTCCTGCTCGCTGCTGACCCTGACGGCCAGGGAACGCTGCTTTGGCCCGGTTCTTGGGACGGCGAAACAGCTGCCGAAGGCCGCGTGGCCGTGGCAGTTGGTCGCCTTGAGCATCTGGACCTTGGCCGGCGAGAAGGGGACGGTGGAAGCCATGGCCTATCTGCAACACCGAGACCAAGGAAAGTGAATTTCGCAGACATGGTTGACAATCGCGTCGCTATATCAGATTCAGTGCTGCGTAGCTCGATCAAAATTGAGGTGTAGACTCTAAGAAACCGGTAAAAGATGGATCTTGATTCTTCTAGGCTAGTGCCACCAGAGGCGGCGGGTGGATAATCTGGATTGCGCTGAGCTTTGGATGGGGTTGGTCATCAGGAAGAGATTGGGGGCTGAATTTAGCTTGACGAGTAGAAGGGAGATGCAAATCTTGGGGAGGAGGAAGAAGAGGGAGGAGGCGGCGGCGGCGTACCTGATGGATGGAAGATGGGGAAGAAGATGAGGAGAAGATGATGTGGCCTCAATCCTCTCCGACGGCGACCCCCACCTACGCAAAGAGATTTCCTGTACTAACTAGACGATGTCTTGCGTTTCGCTGTCTCCATGTCGTGACCGCCGTGTACATGAACCTGAACCTTTTTTTACTTTCAGCTAACCTGAACCTGAAGCTGAACCAACGTGTCGAGCCTACTGATTGCAGTCATGAAAATACTTTTTTTTTTGCAAGTGATGAAAATACATTTTCTTTTCAAACAAACGGTAGAGTCGACAAAAGATGATAAAATAAATCAGGTTCCTTGCTTTTTCTTTCAGGGATAAAATAAGGCGGCCGCTACGCGTGGGCCGGTGGTTGTTTTGAAAACATCCGCCGCCTGTACCACCGTCCGATACGCGTCCTGACAACCGTCTGATCCAACTATCGCGCACGTGACTATTCCTGCAGCAACCGCTTTGTTTCAGAAACAAAAAACCATGTCCGCCATCCAGACACACATGCGCTGCGCGCAGCGCCAGCCCCCGCCACCGTGAAAACGCTGCTGCCGGGGCGCTACAGGGACTGAGGCCGTCGACGGAAAATCCTGCAGCACAATGGCGCACCAAATCGCGCGGCGCACGCTGGGATCCGACGCAAATCGAGCAAGCCGCGGTCCCCTGCTTCAAGGACAACCGTGGCCGTCGTTCTCAGCTCCGACCACCGCCGGGGGGCTTCCTTCGACAAGATCAAATCAAGGCAGCTGTGTAAGTTTCCGAATCTTAATCCCTGAGCTGCGTGTCACTGTAACTGCTGTAGATCCTATTTATCAGAAGCGGGCTGTTTGGATTCATGCGTGTGGCAGCTAAAAAAAAGTTTTAGAATTATGTGGGTGAAGCCAAGGCACAACCCTAAACCCCTGCCCCTTTCTTGTATCTCTGCAACATGTATCTGAAACATCTCATTTTTGTTGTTTATCAACAGAAGAAACACATAGCTAGTTGTTGTCTCTGGTTTCAATTTTGTTTATGAATGGCATGGATTGCATGAATTTCTGAAACAACAAAATACAACTGTTGATGCCATGTATCTATCTAGGCCATGTATCTATTGATGCATTGTAGATGAAATTCTGAAATTCCGGCAATTCTGAAAATTCTGAAACAACAAATATAACTCTTGATGCCTTGTAGATGAAAAAAAGTGATTGTTGCACAACATCTGCTATATTTTACAAAAATAAAAACTTGTGCCTCATTTCAGGAAGCTGCGACTGAAGGGGAAGGAAGCTATGTCCAAGGGAACTTCTCTGTCCATGATAATGAAGATTCAGATGGTTTGTTGCATGCTGATGATGCAATGCAAGATGATTCAGATGATGGAGATGTTTCATCGCAGCCACTACCACCCTATGTTGGCATGGTCTTTGACACAATTCAGGATGCAAAGAAATTCTACAATGACTATGCCTTCAAGTTGGGTTTCGGGACACATATATCTTCAACAAAGTACAACCAGAAGAAGGGACAGAAGCGAGAGGATGTCGTAATGATCAAGAGGGTCTTTGGGTGTGTGCATGCTAGAACAGCTGATAAACCGGAAACAAGTAGCACATCGGAGATCATTGCAACAGAAGCAAGCAACACCAGCAAGCGGCTTGTGTAGACATGTAGACCACTCAAAGCTGCGACAGAGGCAGTGGCAGCACCACATAAATGTCAATTTTGCTCAGAGGTTGGACATGCTGTACCAAACTGTGTGTACTTGAGAGCGGTGATGACAAATGCTCCGAGAAGTGCCCAAGCAATGCAACTCAACCTATAGGAAAAAATGCTCCATAAAATGTTTTTGATTTTCTTTTGAGCCTCACATTGTGCTTGAGGAAAAAACATTCATAGTTTCTATTTTGCAACATTGATGATGCATTTAAGATATATTTCCATTTTGCAAAAACTATGTTACGGGAAAACAGAGGAAATAAAAAGATCTCATATTCTTATGTGTGACTGAAATTGATACCTATGTGTGCCTGAAACAGAGGAAAACATAGCACTATCCTGCAAGAAAACAGGCAAGAAAGGCTCACATTTTGTATCTTGAAATAGTTTTGAATTTGTTGTTTTCTTCATTTTGTCCTTCTTACACTATTTTTGTTTTCATGTTACGACAAAACATGTTTCCAGTACTTGAAACATCTTGTGTATTGAACAGGTTTTTGAGGTCTGATCCAGAACATGAATGATGCTTTCAGCATATGTTGACATATTCCCAGTATTGCTAAGCACATTTTGTCCTCCCTCCAGTAATTTACATACATACATGATGATGCAAGATGGCTTCAGTTAAAAAATGAACTGTTTCAACAATATAATCCCAGTAAATATACATGGCACATGAACTGTGATTTCACTGTTTCAGCACAAAAAAACCCAATGAAAACAAAAATATACCAAGCTGCAAAAAATGCCTGTCATTTTCATTACCAACTCTCCATCAATCTCTAGTTCACATTCACATGGGTCAGCATAAATCATCATGGATGATGCTCCAGCATTTCAAAACAAACTAAAAAAGAAAAAGAAAAAGGACATGCCCAGCATGATAGATGCTCCAATCTTGAGTTCAACAAAAAACATCTAGGTAGCTCCAGCATGATACTTGTTGTTTTCAGTTACATAAATGGATGTTTCGGACACATGGACTCACAAAATAAAAAATAAAAACTAAGCTAGCGAGCTTCTGTTCCGATTGTCATCTTCTACGAGCTTCTCAGTAGTTTATGGAACTCTTCGGCTGAGTTGAGAGTGTTTTGAGGGTGCTTGAAAAGCTTCGGTGATACGAATGTCCGAAAATTGAGCAACGACCTCGTGTCCTGAGCATAGAAAAGGCAGAAATACAAAAAAACATGGAAACGATTAATATTCCGCGCAGCTGCTTTGCCGACCAACGAGTTTGGAAGATAGTCATGCTGCAAAACAAGAGCAAAAATGAAAACATGAAAACTATCAGCAATGCATATCTACTTATCAGAGAATGAAAAGTATTGAAGCAAAAGTTGAAGATTGCATATATAACTGCAGATAAAATGCAGGTTTGAAAGAACATTAGTTAATCCAACTAACTTCAGATAAACATGAGCTAAAAAATCATGGAAAAGTATTGGAACAGTAGCTAAATTTCAGAGAAAAGATATATGTAGTTTCAGAAGCAAAAACTGAGTTCCCTGTGCTATAAGCTAGCAGTACAAACATTCCTGTAGTTTCAGAAATATAAGCTACAGACATAACCTACAAACTAGTTTCAGAAAGGTAAGTTTCTCTGAAATTTAGCTACTGTTTCTCTAAAATTACATATATGTTTCCTTCCCTCTCTGAAACTACATATATGTTTCTCTAAGACTACAAACTGGATAACTGCATGAGCTACAGAAGCTTTGAACTAAAAAGAAAAATCCTGCATCACTAGTTTCATGTAGCACATCAAGTCTGTACCACTAATTCTGTACAACACATCAAAATCTTGCATCACTAACTTCCAAGTAAAAAAATGCTACAGAAGTTTTGAGCTACAAACATTCAGAAAAGATAGTATCAGCTACAGCACAGCAAGGGGATAGCATGAGCTCCAGCAGCGTATTCCAGAAGTCAAATAAACAATTCTGCAACACTAGATCTGCAACATCCAAATCCCTACTGCACATCTACCATCTACACCACCTATATCATCTACACCATCCACCTCGGCGCCGACGACGAGAGCATCTCCCTACGTCAGAGCACCGCTACGATGAGCTGCAAAAATTCAGAAACTAACACAAAAATGGGATCCTGCAACTTTAAGTTCTCTCTGCATCACAACATAAACTATGAGCTCCAGAAAAAATAAAACAAAGAGGATCCTACAGAAACTGCGTGCTCCGGAAATTCAGAAACACACAAATGGGATCCAGTGCACAAATTTTCAGCAGAAGGGGATCCAGTGCACAAATTTGTATCACAACATAAACTATGAGCTTCAGAAAAATGAAACAAGGGGATCCTACAGAAACTGCACGCCCCAAAAATTCAGAAACACACCTATGAGTTTTCAGAACTATGCGCTCCATTGCATAAATTTTCAGCAGCATAAAAACTGAAAAAATGATCCTGAAACTCGTTGTCGCGCCGTCGAACTACCTACAACGCCGCCGAACTACCTACAACCGCTCTGCTCCTTGTCGCGCCATTGTCTCCATCATGGTGACATGCCATTTAATTTTTTTTGAGGAAAATGAACTATGAAGGTAGCTAAAACTGACTAAACGGGACTTATGGACGCCACTTATTTGCCATTTACATCCCCACCGGTCCACCTCCTCCCAGCGAATCGTTCACCAACTAAGAGGGTCCTATTTCAGTTATGTTTTGTTTCTTTTAACAGTTCCCTAGTAAAAAAAATCAAACCATCTGCATCCAAATTGCCAAGATCTAGAGTTGATTCTAAGAAAAACCTCCAAACTAGGCGAGAGCACGTCCGCTAATTTGCAGCAGCAAATAACTGAACTACCATTTCAGCAACCTAACACAGATATCCAATGCAACAAATGAACAAGTTCGCTCGTTTATGGTTCCAGCTCAGCCAGTAAAACCAGACGAACACGATGCTCCAAATCAACATTCCAGTTCATCAGGACGGCAACAGAATG